GCTGCTATAAAAACAGCCCTATATTAAGTGACCCTTGATCTCATACCAAATTCTCCTTTTTTCATAGGAAACACAATACAATGCTTGAAGAATCAAGCAGTCTATCACATATCAGTTGAGCCTTTTTTCCAAACACCCCTTCAATTAATGATAGCCATAAAATGTGATTTCAGTGTTATATAACTTTTCAGACTGGTTTCAGTATTTGTAATGCTCAGCAGAACTTTGACTGAAAACAAAAGCAAAATAGTTTTAATAAAAACAACTGAGCCTCTGTTAGTTTCCAAACCACTTTGACAGTGTCAGTCTTTTTGTAGACAGTTACATAATTAAATTTTTGTTTTGGTACAATCCTTAAAAATGTGAACCTTGTTTGCTTATCTTGCATCATTGCCAGGAGTCCTCATGAGCCACTGCATTAAAGTATGTACCAAATTTATCAAAAATATTCTGTAGAATTTGGCATGAATATTTGGCCCAAAGTAAAAAGAAAAACAAATTGTAAAAAGAAAAACAAATTGTAAAAACATTAAAGGTTACTTAATCACAGCAATTCCCCAAAATATTCATTCGCCTCCATGAAAAGAGTATTTGCCTGCACCAGTTCAAGGAGACATGTTTTATCATGTAGTTGCTATATGACACCTTTCCCATCTGTGTTTATTTTTACTCATGAGATCATGAAAACTTAAAATACTACATTCAGTTACCCACAGGCAAAGGGGGATGCAGCTCAGCTTTAGCAAATTAACATGTGAAAAATATTGTGCATGATCGGCAAAACCAAAAATAATTGGATCAGTATGTCTGCCACTTCACTTATATACTCAAAAAGTTTTGAACGATGAAAATCTTAGATGAAGACCAGTGTTCTGAGGTTTTGATTAAGTTTTGTGTTTGTGCCCTGTCCATCATAATGGAAGAAGTACAGAGGTCCTTAACTTGCTCCATGTAACAGCTAATTCTAACAAGATTAAGGACCCTTTTGTACCAACCTTAAAGATGGACCCCTCTATAATTAGGCTGCATACTTGCTTAATAACTGTTTTAATCATGACACATACAAGGACCGATGTCCTCCTAAAATTTGACCAAGTCAAGACCTCAGACTACCGATCCTTATATGAACTAGCTGCATCATTCCTTTGACCTCTTACAAGGTTATGTCAAGCTCGCACTATTTCTCATGAAAACCAGTCATACTAAACACCCCACAGATCCAGGCATTTCCTTGAGATGGTTCTTACAAATACATTTTTATGGAGGTCAGTGACAGTACTCAAGAAAGCTTCCGGCAATTTCCAATCACAAGTCTTTTACACTTAAAATTCATAATTTGAGCTGATTATGCATGCACAACATTGTACACTTTAAGTGGTGGCTTGATCATCACTTTTAAAATCCATGCAACTTCTCTAATGCAGTGGTCTAGGGCTACTGTACCCGTATGACCAATAATAACATATTCTAAATTGCTGTGTGGGTTGAAACTGACAGAGGTTTCAAAGATTTTTTGTCACTTAAGACTGTACATAAAAGCGATCTTTGCAGTTTTAAAGCAACGGAAGTTGATAACTTCAATTAGGGAATCTTTGTCTATGTCGTCATTGTGCCCCATCATAAATTTATTTAAAAATTACATTTTGTTTGGCAAACTCAAAGATGTTATTACCTTTTTGATAGC